AATGAATATAGTGCAAGTGAGAATGAGAATGAAGACCTAGGCTTCAAACATGGCTAGCTGGAAGAATGGTGGTGTCTTCAACAAAAGTAGAGAATTTAGGGGGTGACATGAATTTAGTGGGGAAAAATGAGTTCTTTTGACATGTTAATTTGGAGATAACTATAAGACATCCGATAGAGATGTCCAACAAGTAGTTGAAGATGTGGGACTAGAACTCAGAATATAAACTCAGGGCTGGAAATAAAATTTGGACATGATATGCATAGATAGGAGCTGATGAGATCAACAAAAAAGAGAATATATGGAAAGACAGTAAGTAAGGCCCAAGGCAACTTCAGCATATGCCCACACATAGGGAGTGGGACATGCACAGAGATCCTGCAAAGGATATTAAGGAAGTGTCATGGAGACTTCCGCTTCCGGGAGCCAAGATGGTGGAGTAACAAGTAAGTTGCTCTCACCCTCCGTTGTTGACCTCTGAAAGCCCAGAAAATATCACCCCAGGAAAAACCCTGGAATATCTGAGCCAGCAAAAAGATGTGATACAGCAATCTTGTAGCCTAGGAAGCTTGGGGGATTAACAGGAAAGGCCCCTCTTGCTCTGGGGAGGGGGGAGCAGTACAGGAAGGGAGGTGTCCCAGGAAGCCAGCAGTAAGCCCCACCTCAGCATACCAGGGAGATATGCTGAGTCCTAGGGTAGTGGAGTAGGCAAGCCCCAACACTAGGACCCCCCCCCCCGGAGTACAGGCAGGGGAATCAGTAGACACCAACTCGGCAAGCCATGTGCAATGGCCTTCTCTAGTAGACAAATCTCCCAGTGCCTCAGCACAATTCCAGGAAGCAGATCTCCAGGCTGACAGACACTTTCCAGCAGCCAAACAAAGGTGTGCAAGGCCCAGGTGAGCAGGTATTCCTCCAGGGGTCAGATTCCCCACCCCTACCCCAACAGCTCCAGTGTTGCTGACTCCAGCTGAGCACCAGGTAAGCTGCCAGAACCCTACAGCCTTTAACTACCAGTATCTGAGGTCCCAGCACACAAAGCCAGTGACCAAGTCTGGGACTCCTAGCACAAGAAACTTGGGTCAGTGCCCCCTGCACTCCAGCAGGAGAGCTCAACTTTTTTTTTAAAAGTCAGGAAATAGGCAAACACCATGATCAAAAAGCAGAAACAGACGATGACCATAGATTCCTATTATGGGGACAGGGAAGATCAAGGCACAGATTCAGAAGAGGACAGCGTCAGTATACCCACATCTGAAACCTCAAAGGGGAATGTGAACTGGTCTCCACCCCAAAAATCCTTCTTGGAAGAGCTCAAGGAGTTTAAAAGTCAATTAAGAGAGGTAGAAGAAAGGAAAGAGGGAAAAGAAATGAGAGATGTAAGAGAGAGTCAATAGCTTGGGAAAAGGACAAAAATTAATAGTAGAGCAAGTCCTTAAAAAATATAATCGGCCAAATGGAAAAAAAGTACACCGAAGAAAACAACTCCTTAAAGGAGGCACAAAAATTCACTGAAGACAACTCCTTAAAAAACAAAATGGGCCAAATGGAAAAGGAAGTGCAAAATCTAAAAGAAGAAAACAATTTGTTAAAAGTTAGAATTGGGCAAATGGAAGCTAATGACTTTATGAGAGATCAAGAATCAGTCAAACAGAAACAAAAGAATGAAAAAATAGAAGAAAATGTAAAGTACCCCATTGGTAAAACAACTGACCTGGAAAATAGATCCAGGAAAGACAATTTAAAAATTATTGGTTTACCTGAAAACCATAATGAAAAAAAGAATCTGGCACCATCTTTCAGGAAATCATCAAGGAAAACTGCTCTGAGGTCCTAGAATCAGAGGGTAAAATAGTCATAGAATCCACAAGGAAGATATCGGAGTAAAAGCAGTGACTTGCTTGAGCTGTCCCCCAGACTCCTCCAAATACCTGTAAAAAATGGCTTTTAACAAATTCTAGAGCAGCAGAACCCACAAAAAGGAAGAGTGAAACAAATTTCCAGCCCAAGACAATCTGGTTGATTGAAAATATCTGTTGCCTAGGGCTGAGAGAGGAACACAGTTCAGCATGGGGCCCACAGGCAAAGATCAGGCCTTGGTGAACCTGGAACAGGCCTCAGGGGACTGAATCACAGGCAGCTCTGGCGGTTTCCAGATTTCTCAACCCATAAACGCCAAACACAACTTATATGGTCAGTATGGAAAAGTCTGTTGGACCATGTTGAGAATGGAGCTCAGTCTCAGCCCCAGTCCTGGCACAGCCCCAGGGTTGTGGGTGCTTCCAGAGCTCTTGTCCCAGACAGAGGGGATCAAGCAGCTGATCAGAGGAGAATTGCAGAGATCTCTTTGCTGGTGCTGAGACAGGATTCTCTTGCTTTGCCTGTGCTTGGATCTGGGTAACAGTTCTGGGTGGCAGTCCTGGGGCAAGGAGAAACACTGGCGTAATGGAGTTTGTGGTGGTGATAGAGAGGGAATCCTCACAGTTCCAAAGCAGAAAACAGTGCTTGTGGTCTCTCATAGACTAGAGTACAGGCTAGGAAAGGAGTAAACACCTCGCCTTTGATCATAACCACCTTGGAAGAAGTGAAAATTTACAGGTCCTTAGAAGTATCTCTGAAAACAGCTGCACAAAACCCCTGAATTGAGACAGTACATTCTCTGCACTGGGAGCAGACCCCTACCTTAACAGTTTAAAAGTCAAATAATTGGCTGGGATCATGGGCAAATTGTGTGACAAAAATCAGACCATAGAATCTTTGGTGACAAAGAAGATCAAAACATACAATCAGAAGAAGACATCCAAAGCTCCTACACTGAAAGCCTCCAAGAAAAATATGAATCAGTCCAAGGCCATGGAAGAGCTCAAAAAGGATTTTGAGAAGCGAGTAAGAGAAGTAGAGGAAAAACTGGGAAGAGAAATGAGAGTGATGCAAGAAAATCGTGAAAAACGAATCAACAACTTGCTAAAGGAGACCCAAAAGAAATACTGAAGAAAACAAATATCATCTTAAAAAAATAAACTAACACAAACGGCAAAAGAGGTCCAAAAAGCCAGTGAGGAAAAGAATGCCTTAAAAAGTGGAATTGGCCAAATGGAAAAGGAAGTCCAAAAGACTCACTGAAGAAAATGCTTCCTTAAAAATTAGAATGGAGCAAGTGGAAGCTAATGACTTTATGAGAAATCAAGAAATTGTAAAGCAAAACCAAAAGAATGAAAAAGAAGAGTGAAATATCTCACTGGAAAAACAACTGTCCTGGAAAATAGATTCAGGAGAGATAATTTAAAAATTATTGGACTACTTGAAAGCCATGATCAAAAAAAGAACCTGGATACCATCTTCCAAGAAATTATCCAGGAAAATTGCCCTGATATTCTAGAACCAGAGGGTAAAATAGAAATTGAAAGAATCCACTGCTTACCTCCTGAGATTCCCCAAAGGAAAACCCCTAGGAATATTATAGCCAAATTCTAGAGTTCCCAGGTCAAGGAGAAAATATTGCAAGCAGCCAGAAAGAAACAGTTGAAGTAATATGGAAACACAATCAGGATAACGCCAAGATTTAGGAGTTTCTACATTAAGGGACCAGAGGGCTTAGAATATTATATTCAGGAGGGCAAAGGAGATAGGATTACAAGCAGCCAGAAAGAAACAATTTAAATGTCATGAAACTACAGTCAGTATTATGCAGAACCTTGCAGCTTCTACATTAAAAGATCGGAGGGTGTGGAATATGATATTCCATAAGGGAAAGGAGCTTGGATTACAATCAAGGATCAAATACCCTGCGAAATTTAGTATAATCTTTCAGGGGAGGAGACAGACATTCAATGAAATAGGGGACTTCCAAAACATTCAAACTTTATTTCATTATGTTTCTCTAGAAGAATTGTGATTCTCAGATTGTCTCTGTACATTGTTTTTTCAAGGTCAATTGCTCTGGCTCATAGAGAGGTCTAATGTTTTCATTCAGATTTCTTGTCTTTGGACTTTGTTCTGATGACTTTTTTTTCCATTGCTGCAGTTTTTCAGTTCAAACTCTTCTGTTCTCTTTTTCAGAGAATCTGTTTTGAAGAGGTTACTTTCCCAAATTTTCTACTGTCCTGTTTGTTCATTTCTTTTGATTTGGCACCTCTTTTAATTTCTTTATTGTTCTTTGAAATATTTTGGAAGTTCTTTTTTTAAAAATTGATTTATTGTTAACATTTTTTATGTTGAGTTCCAGATTTCCTCCCTCTGGCCCCTCCCCCACCCATTGAGAAGACAAGCAATGTGATATACAGTATATATGTGAAGTTATGCAAAATATTTCTCTATTATCAATGTTATAAAAAATCAAGAAAAATAAAGTTTAAGAATGTTTCAGTTTGCATTTGGGGTTCTTCAATTTTCTCTCTGGAGGTGGAAAGTATTTTTCATCATGGTTCCTTTGGAATTGTCTTAATCAGAATAAGTCTTTCACAGTTGATCTTCGTTAAAATCTTACTCTTACTGTGTACAAAGTTCTTCTGGTTTTGTTCACTTTGCATCAGTTCATGTAAGTCTTCCTGGGTTTTTCTGTACCCATCCTTGTCATCATTTTTTATAGCACAATAGTATTCCATCACAATCATATACTGCAACTTGTTTAACCATTCTCCAATTGATTCTTCCCTTTATTTTAGAAGTTCTTGAAGTTGTTCAGTTACTACATCAGGATTTTTTTCATAGTTGAGGGAATATTTTCTCTTTTTCAAAGATTTTTGAGCTACTCAGATTATATCACTTGCAAAAATGATCATTTTCATGAAATCCTATAGTTTAGACAGCTAATTATCTAAAACTTTCCTATTATTCATTTAAATTCAAGATAAAATGAGATTTGGTGAACCCAGTGATTCTTCTTTTCAAAGGAATGACTGCTTGCCAGAATTTTGGATTAAAAAAAATGGAAATTGTATGTGGCCAAATAATGGAAAATATTAATTGATTTTGTTATTGCTTATTATGTCTTTCTATAGATTTTAAACCTTACTCAAGCATTAAAAGACGGAAAGAGTCCTCTTCAGCTAGTACAAATGCCACGTGTGATCGTGGAACGAAGTCAGAGTGGAAGTCAGGGCCGGATTGTCCATTTGAATAATTCATTCACACAGACCGTGAATTGTAGGAAGCCTTTCTTTTCTTCCTGGTAGCCGATGTAAGATGAAAAACACTGGACTCTTGCCCTTAATTAGAAATGTTATGTAAAAGATTTTGCAATAATATAAATCTTCTGTACACAGCTCCAACTGCCAAAACCTCAGATAACTTAAATCTTTAAAAAGGTTGCATTTTGAATGTAATCAAAAGTTTACAGTTTTTGTGTCCAAAAATTGTGAATTCTACGTCAGGGAATAAACAAGTAACCCATTGTTTATATTGTATTTTTATAGGATGAATGTACTTTATTGTGTTGATACTACTTTAAAAGAAAATTTTACAGTTTGCATATGCTGGAATGACTGTATTCACTTTGGAATTCAAAATAGAAAATTATATGTCTGTTGTTCAGTTTAATATGAGAATGCGAGTTTGTGAGATATTACACTTTATATTGCCCTTGCGAATGAAGGGGATATCCTTGTTAAATTTCTTCAGATTCCAAAATGCCTTAGGATTGAAACTGACCCATCTGGGTTTGAATGCAATAGTTACAAGAAAAATAAATTAGAATAGTTATATTTCATCTTTTAAAAAAGCTGCTGTTTCTGAAACTTGAAAAATGTACCTGAAAAAGCCCAGTCTGCTTTGTACTAGGGACCAAAAAAAATACTTAAATTTGCATTAGACTTTTGTTCTTCTGTTTGTCTACTTTAAAATTATTTTTGGAGAACTGTTCATGTTACTATAATAAAGGTGCAAAATTCAGTTTGAGAGTGAAAAATGAGGGGTTATTCATTGGCTAGTATCAATATAGGTCTCTAGGTACTTAAGCTTTGAAGTATGTATTATCACTAAATATTCATTTATATGTCTTGCATAGGATCTAAGAACAAGCTGCTTTTGTTAATAATAAATTTTTAAATGAAAAATTGTACCCCAAAGTATATATGAGATTGCATTTGGGGTCCTACTGTGTGCTGAGCCTTTAAAGCAGCTTATTTTTAAAAAAAAAAATTTATGTTATTTGATATTTCAGTTTGTATTCTAATTATAAGTCAATTTTTAAAAATGATCTGCACAAGTCATAGAGACAGGTTAAATAGATGATTCTAAAATCATTTACATTTGTTTCTGAAATGCATTTTGTATACTTAATTGGCCAAATCTGACACTTTGAGAATTTGTAAAACTTTCAATAAACATTTGCTAAATTAAATTAAAATAACCTATATGAAGATCAGACTTTACTAGAAAGACTCAGCTTTTACCTCCTATACTACTTAGCCCAGTGATCACCTCTCTGCTACTTCATCCTAGGAGTGACCATATTAATATGTCACTCAGTTGGCCTTCACCAGAACTGTCCTTTCACATTCTTTAGTTTACAGACTTGGTTGTTTGCACAGGCTGAGGGTGGGGGGAAGACTAATTGCTTGTCCTGTAAAATATCTTTATCAGATGTTAAACCAGAATAGGAAATAAGAGAATTCCTTGGCTCTCTAGTTAGGCTCCACTTCAGATTTCTGGTTTGTGAGCGAGTTTTTGAGGCCACTGACCTCACATTACAAAAATGAAGTAGAAACCATTGTCTTCTTCGTACCTTCCGCAAATAATCTGAAAAGAAAATCATCCAACGTAGGATAATGTAGAGTTGATTGTAAACTTTAAAATGTACCCTAATCTGCTTTTTCATGAATAGTAATTAAAATTGGTGTTTCCAAAAGTTGTGACCTACAGGAAAATAAATACCTGTGTTAAGTGTTATTTTTGAAAATTAGTTTTTCAGTATTTTACACTTTGCTATGTTATATTTTTTTAATGGAAAACAGAGAAATTTGCTTCAGTGCTACTGTTTCATAATACTGTAAGAGAAGCTAGCATATCATTAGGATCTTCTATTTAAAATGGCCAGGTTATGCCTTAAAACTGAAGGAAATATGCATAATAAATATTTCTAAATTCTGAATACAAGTCAGAACAGTGATATTTTGTAAACTTTTCAGGATTTTATTTCTTGTGTAAATACTTCATTCAGACTTTTTAAAATGAGTATATTTGAGATTGCCAAATAGAAGACTTAAAATAATAAAAATCATTGTCTTAAAGACCAAATTTGTCTTGTGTCTATTGAATAATTAAAATGTGTGTTTCTACATTACTGTAGATTAAAATATAAATGGAACAATATTTACTTTTTTGTGTAACTTAGTATTAAAGTTAAATCCTGAATTATGTGGGGGCATATGTTCCTTAGAGACATGTAACTGAATCTCTGAATCACTTTCCTCAGGCATTTAAGTTTTTAAGACTTTAGAGCTGAAAAACAGTTGCCACTATGCATTGTAGGGGAAATTTTCTCGCCAGGGATTCCTACACAATTAGTTCTCAGACTTTTTGGTCTCAATCCCCTCTTAAGGACTCCTCAAAGAACTGTTGTTTATGAGCATTGTATCTATTGTTATTCACTGTATTGGAAATGAAAATGTCTCAGTATTATTACAGAAATAATTTGGACTTCACCAATCTCCTAAAAGGGCCTCACTTTCCACTACAAAATGTTGCCTTTCTGATGCTACTTATTAATATCTACAAGATGTAATCAAAATAGTTCTTAGAGGCAAATATATGTTACTGAATATCTGCATTAATAACAGAAAAAGATACTAAACTAAATAAAGTCTATACTTGAGAATTCTACATCCACTAGCTAGTGTTGGAATCAGGAATGGAAACCAAGTTCTCTGGCTCCAGTATCAGTATGCTTTCCTCTATGCCATGCCACCTCATCAAGAAAAGAGCAGAGTCAAGATGACAGAGTACAGGAAGCAGCTAACTTCTCCAAACATTCTCCTCAAAAGAACATTAAAATAAAGCCTCAATTCTGTAACAGCAGAGCCAAGAAAAGGGCAGAGAGAAATTTTTTCTAACCCAAGTCAGGTTAGGAGATTGGAGATTGTGACACTGGTGGAAGCCTGTTTGGAGCCCACGTGGCAGCAAAACCAGCTGTGGGCTTTGGAGGCAGCAGCTGCAGTAGCTGCAGTTTTGAGAGCTCTCAAGATAGAGATGGCAAAGGGATCTAACAACTGGTCAGAAAAAGATTATAAGAGACCCTTACGTTAGGACAGGGTGCTGTTTGGCAATTTCATTACCTATACTAACTTTCTGGTCAGAATTCAAGCTGAGAAAAGCTCCTGCAGTAATGAAGGAGCAAGGGCCCTGAGGAGCAGTATCCTTTGTAGTTACAAGGGATCAGGGTCCCTTAGGAGCAGTAGTGATTTTGGTCCCAAGGAGTAGGAGGCATGTCCTGAGTAGGGACCACAGTGCAGACTAGGAGAGCAGTGACCACATCTCTCTTCAGATCACACCACCATGGCAGCACCAGCAATGTGAAAAAGTCTGAAATTTGACAATGCCCCCCACCCTCTGCACCCTGTGAACAGAGCCAAGAAATAGATTGGAAAAATGAACAAACAACAACAAAAAAGAACCTGATGTAAAAAGCTGCTGTGGCAGCAGGAAAAATCAAGTCAGCAATTCAGAAGAGAACGATGTCCAAACAGCTACAAACAAAGCCTCAAAGGAAAAAAAGAAGTGAATTGGACACAAGCTGAACAAGAATTTTTGTGAGAGTTAAAAAAAATTATTTAAAAAATGAAGAGCAGTAGAGGAAAACTTGGAGGTCAGATGGGGATAAGAGCAATGCAAGAAAATTTTGAAAAGGCAATTAACAGACTGGTAAAAGAGAGACAAAAAATGCTGCAAAAAAAAAACACCTTAAAAAACAGAATTGGCCAAATAGAAAAAGAGGTATAAAACTTAATTCATCATAATAAACTCATTAAAGAAAATAATTCCTTAAAAAATAGAATTAGGCAAGTGGAGTCTCATAATGATTCCATGAGATATCAAAAAATACAAGTAAAAAAATGAAAAAGTAGAAGAAAATATGAATTATCATTTTGGAAAAATGACTGTGGAAACAGATTGGGGAGAATTTAAGGATTATTGGACTGTCTGAAAATCATGGTAAAAAAAAAAGCCTAGATATCATATTTCAAGAAATTACAAAGGAAAACTGCCATGACATCCTAGGACTAAAAGATTAAATAGAAACTCAAAGAGTCCACCAATCACCTCTTAAAAGAGATCCCAAAATGAAAGCTCCCAGAAATACAGCCAAATTTCAGAACTTCCAGGTCGAAGAGAGAATATTTTAAGCAGACAGAAAAACTCAAATATTGTTTAGCCACAGTCAGGATCACACAAGATTTAGTAGCTACCACTTAAAGGAGCAGAGGACTTGGAATATGATATTCCAGAAGGCAAAGGGGTTAGTATTACAAACAAGAATAATCTATGTTGAGTGCCAGAGCTGAAGAGTCTAGTACAGGATAAGGAATTTAGGTTAGAGCTTGACTCTTTCTTTTTCCTACCCATAAGGGCTTATTTATTTAGAATATTTGGCTCACCAATTTCCCATGCCTAGGAGGTGTTAGAACACTCTGACCCTTAGCAAGCAGGTGTGAACCGTCAAGGATACCATAAGGGCTGGGGTTAGGTAAGAATCTTGGGAGCACCTCGGGGGTGATTGTTAGCTTTCACTATTTAAACTGGACCCTCAGAATAATAAATGGCTCAGTCTTTTACTGACCTGCCTGGCCCACATCTCTTCATTTCACACTCCTCCATTTGATGCAGCACTTAGTCGCGGGCGACAAATCTACCTAACAAAACTGAGCATAACCCTTCAGGTGGAAAAATTAATATTTAATGAAATAGAAGAATTTCAAGCATTCCTGATGAAAAGACCAATGAATAGAAAATTTGGCTTTCAAAAACAAGGCTCAAAAGAAGCATAAAAAGGTAAATATGAAAAAGAAATTAGGATCTAAAAAAGGTTAGACTCTTTATATGGGAAGATGATACATGTAACTCTTAAGAACTTTATTATTATTGCACCAGTTGGAGGCAGTCTACATAGGGGAAATGGTAGTGAGTCAGTTTTGTTAGGGAAAAAAGACCTAATTAAATGAGATAAGCCAGAAAACTATACATCTTGCTGAAAGGTACCATAGATAAGTAATATGGATACTAAAGATCTATTGACAAAATAATATAGTATCCAAATTCTTAAAAGGAAAAGTTAAATGATTTACAGGAGGAAATAGTAAAACTACACTACTAGAAAAATCTCAACTCTTCCCTCTCAGACTTAGATAAATCTGTGCATAAAATAAGAAAGAAGTTGGGGAGAGGAATAGAATTTTAGAAAAGTTAGGATAGACTTCTGGAGAAAATTGAATGAGTATAGAAAGGAGTATATCTTTTTTCTCGGCTGTGCATGGAACTTTCACAAAAATTGACCATATGTCAGGACATAAAAACCTAACAAATGCAGAAAAGCAGAAATATTAATTGTACCCTTTTCAAATCATGATGGAATAAACATGACATTCAATAAAGGGCTGTGGAAACATAGATTAAAAATTAATTGGGAACTAATCCTAAAGAATGAGTGGGCCAAAGAATAAATGATAGAAACAATTTCATTAAGAATAATGATGGGGGGGGCAGAGCCAAGATGGCGGAGTGAAAGCAGTGACTTGCTTGAGCTCTCCCCCAAACCCCTCCAAATACTCATAAAATATGGTTCTAAACAAATTCTGAAGCAGCAGAACCCACAAAAAGACAGTGAAACAAATTTTCAGCCCAAGACAACCTGGATGATTGATCAGAAAGGGGTATTGTGCCGTGCTGGGAGCGCAGCGCAGAGTGGCATGGGCTCGCAGGCCACAGCAAACCTGGAGCAGGCCTCAGAGGACTGAATCTAGGGCAGCTGTGAAGGTTTCCAGACTCCTCAATCCACTAATGCCAAAGACAACTTAGAAGGTCAGAGGGAAAAGTCTGTTTCTATCAGTGCTGAGAGAGGAAGGTGGGGTCTCAGCTCCATTCCCCATGAGAGTGGCCCTGGGGGTGGCAGCTGCTTCCCGAGCTTCTGGCCCACAGACTGAGGGGGAATCCAGTGGCTGATCACAGAGGGATTGCAGGGATCTCTTTGCCAGTGCTAAGGATCTCTGAAAACAGCTGTACAAACCGTTGAAGCTTCGGACAGTACATTCTCCACATTGGAAGCAGACTCTTACCTTAACAAAGAATTTAAAACTCAAGTAATTGGCTGGGATCATGAGCAAGCAGCGCAAAACGAGTCAGACTATATTACCTTACTTTGGGAAAAAGAAGATCAAAATATACAACTAGAAGAAGACAAAGTCAAAGCTCCTACATTCAAAGCCTCCAAGAAAAATATGAATCAGTCCCAGGCCTTGGAAGAGCTCAAAAGGGATCTTGAGAAGTAAATAAGGGAAGTAGAGGAAAAACTGAGAGTGATGCAAGAAAATCACGAAAAACAAGTCAACAGCCTGCTACAGGAGACCCAAAAAAATACTGAAGAAAATAACACCTTAAAAAATAGCCTAACCCAAATGGCAAAAGAGGTCCAAAAAGCCAATGAGGAGAATGCCCTAAAAAGCAAAATTGGCCAAATGGAAAAGGAAGTCCAAAAGCTTACTGAAGAAAATGCTTCCTTAAAAATTAGAAAAGAGTAATTGGAAGCTAGTGACTTTATGAGAAATCATGACACAGTAGAACAAATCCAAAAGAATGAAAAATTAGGAAACAATGTGAAATACCTCATTGGAAAAACAACTGACCTGGAAAATAGATCCAGGAGAGAGAATTTAAAAATTATTGGACTATCTGAAAGCCATGATCAGAAAAAGAGCCTAGACATCATATTTCAAGAAATTATCAAGGAAAACTGCCCTGATATTTTAGAACCAGAGGGCAAAATAGAAATTGAAAGAATCTACCAATCTCCTCCTGAAAGAGATCCCCAAAGGAAAACTTCTAGGAATACTATAGCCAAATTCCAGAGTTCCCAGGTCAAGGAGAAAATATTGCAAGCTGCCTGAAGGAAAAAATGCAAGTACTGTGGAAACACAATCAGGATAACACAAGATTTAGCAGCTTCTACATTAAAGGACCACAGGGCATGGAATATAATATTCTGGAGGGCAAAGGAGATAGGATTACAGCCAAGAATCACCTCAGCA